TTAAATGCTGCACTGCAGTTGGATAAAGCTGCCCCTGTTCTGGCTGGATTGAAGAAACCCATCATTGTGGCGAAAGTAAATGCTGATAAATATAAACGTCTTGCTTCTAAGCATGAAATTCAGTATGTTGTTGCGGCCTTTCAATTCAACTGGAATCTGATAACAACATTCCCCTGTAGCTTGAATTTGGTGTTTATTGCTTTCCTTTAGCTAAGATCTTAAGTAGAAAACTAGATTATTGTTTTGAGACCCAAGTTTCTGATCTTAGCACCAAGAGAAAGGTGGAAAATACTAAAAAGTTTATCTTTTAATGCAGTGGATATCCAACTCTGAAGATATTTGTGCATGGAGTTCCTACAGAATATTATGGACCTCGACCAGCTGACTTACTTGTTCGGTTTCTGACAAAATTTGTTGCTCCTGATGTTGCTATTCTAGATTCGGACTCGGCTATTAGCGAATTCGTGGAAGCAGCTGGTACTCATTTTCCTATATTCATAGGCTTTGGGTTAAATGAGTCCATGATATCAAATTTGGCTGTTAAGTATAAGAAGAAAGCTTGGTTTTCAGTTGCAAAAGATTTCTCGGACAATATCGTGACTTTGTATGATTTTGATAAAGTGCCTGCTTTGGTTGCCTCTCATCCAGCCCACAGTGAACAGAGCATATTTTATGGGCCCTTTGAAGGTTAGCTTGTGTTTAAGTATCATATTTTTCTTCGAAAGTAGTAGTTTTGAAATTTTTTAATCTTGCCAAAGCTTATGGCGTTTTGATATATTGTGCTTTTCAAGAATTCTCGTGGTTTATAATTTATAGCACATTCTGTTGTTGTTCAAGCTGTTGTAGGTAAGGTTAAAGGCTCTTATTGAAACTAAATGTTAAAATGCATGATGACCAAATCCTGATTCTCATATAAAAGGGCCATCCATTTCAAACATTGGAATGTTTTGGAAAATTGTTGACAATATGCTAGAAATATTGCTTGAAAATTATGACATTGAGAGAATTGTGAATGCCCTTTTATTGCTAACATCCATTTGGATCTTTCTGGATTTGGAACCATTGAGAAGAAATCGATGAACTTAATATAAGATATCCCCTCTCATTTTGATTGATGTATAGACTGGGAAGGAAAATTCAAATGAAGGATTGGGGATGAATGTCTGGCATAAACAGCACAAAATGGATGAATATCACCCCTGCCCCAACTCCCAGGCTCTCCCTCAATCCCCTGCTTGTCTGTGCATTTGTAGAGAATTGTGTATTTATATAAGGGGAGAGACATGAAGTTTCCTGTGTCTTGAGAGGGTGAGAGACAGTGTTAGAAGGTGAACATGGGAACGTAAAGGCTTCGACGAATCAATCAATGAAGAAGAGTGGACTCAAAGAAACTTGCTAATATTTTGTTTGATTCTGAATGGCAGATAAATTCCTTGAAGATTACATACAACAAAGTTTGCTACCTCTGGTATTACCCATGAATGAAGATTCATTGAGGTCGCTGAAAGATGATAAGAGGAAGATTGTTCTAACAATAATGAAGGATGAAACAGATGAGAAGTCCAATAATTTAATAAAAGTCTTAAAGTCTGCTGCATCTGCAAATCGTCACTTAGTATTCAGTTATGTTGGGATCAAGCAGTGGCGAGATTTTGCTGAATCATTTGAAGTGTATAAGACAACTCAGCTGCCAAAAATGATTGTTTGGGATGGAAATGAGGAGTATTACACAGTAAGTGCGCATTACTGTATTCTCAAACGCTATATTTCCATAACCGTTATTTATTTATTTTTTAAATCTGTGAGAATATTTTAATCATGGCTTTCTTAATTTATTTTTCTCAACAAAAGCTCTTATCTATAAATGATTCGAGTTTTGGAGAAGTAATAATCCTTATTATGGATTTAATCATACATGCTAGACTACCAATGACCAATCTAAGGACACCCATATCAATGTTCATCTCGACTTTTGCATTATGCATCTATATATCCTTCTTTTGACGAGAATTTGACTGAATTGAACTTTGGTTTAAATTGATATGAATTATATTCTATTGCTGATTTAGATGTCTAAACTTTCAATATCTCCTTAAATATTAGGCCCTTTAACGTTACAACTTTTATCTTGTACCCATGCTATTAGGGCTCCCAAAATTGTTAACTTGGCTCTCACGTTGCATTATATTTTCTCAAGGTTATTGGTTCAGAAAGCATTGAAGAATCAGATCCCGGCACCCAAATCTCGAAATTCCTTGAAGGTTATAGAGAAGGAAGTGTAATACAGAAGCGGATCAGTGGTCCAACCTTGATGGGTTTTATCAACTCACAATTGGGGGGCAAATATTTTTTCATTAGTATATTAGTGTTGCTGGTAATAATAATTCTGATCCTTACAATGTGCAAAGAGGAACCATTAACGGTCGGTACCCGGGATCAGATAGATCATTCAAGGAACGCCCCCTTCCAGCCAGAAACCAGAGAACTACGTCGAGCTGCTGACAAGGAGGATTGATTTTCTTCTTGAATGAATCATCGTTAATGATTAAACATGATTCTGGGGACCGATTTTACCCACTTGTGTTATATTTCTGGGTATTTCAGATTTTATGTTTTGAAAAATATTTAGTTGAACTATTTATGGAAATTTTTTGGATGAAATATGGCTTATTACCGTTAAGATTCAAGAATCCCCATCTCATTTTCCTCTGTTTGTCCTGAATATTGGGTTAGAACATCTCTAGTTGATGAACTTGTAAACGATGAGTATTTTTTTTCCCCTACCAACTTGATTTGAACTTGAAATGTTGAATTAAGTTGGACTAACTTTATATGTCTCTTAAGATTAAAATTTATAGTTGAGTGGTGTATTTTATGCATCAATTTAAATACGCTAGGAAACATTGGACGAATTATGTCGTGGTTGTAGTTTGATTAAATTGGATCACTAAATTTCAATGTTACATCAATTCGATTATTATATTTTAATTTGTTCGGTTTAATCACTTCGTTCAACTTTATTGTACTATTTAATGTGGCTGAAAATTATTGACGGTCATCGAGCAAGGCCATTAAAAAATGACCTGAAGAAGTGATACAATCAAATAATATATAATTAGAATTATTATCAATCTACAAGTGGGGGTTTAAAGCGACTTTTTTGATTGTATTAGTTCGTTACTTTTTGACAACCGTGTAGGATGACCGTTTCGACGTAACAATCACATTATGTTGGGCATTAAGCAGTATAATGGAATTGAACGAAGTGGACTAAATCGATATAAAATAGTATAGGGACCTAATTGTCACAAATATGAAGTATACTGACCATTTGATAATTGGACCAATTGCGACTAGAGATTGGACAAACAATCGCCCTCTGAAGTTCCTTCCGTTTCCAATTCGCAGCCATGCCTACTGTTAGCGTCGGCAGAGATCGCCTCTTCCAAGCCCTAGGCCGCGAGTACAGTAATAATCTTTCTCTGTATATTTATGTATATATTTTTATATATGCCAGATACCTGACTTTTTTTTTTTTTTTTCCGATCTCAGCTCAAGAAGAGTTTGACGATTTATGTTTCAATTTTGGCATTGAGCTTGATGATGTTGTAAGTACTATCACAGTTTACGTGTGAGTAAATTTAACCAATAATCACTGAACTTTACAATTGATTACGACTTGCTCACTCATCTTTCACAGATTTCTGAATGCTCACTCATCTTTTTATATAATTACTCATTACTACTCGTCTCTTCAAATAATTGGACGAGTTTTACGGCAAATTTTCGACAAATTTCGACCACAAAGAATGTCGAATTTTGATACCGTTAGAAAGTCCGCGATATCCTCTTCAATTATCACCCAAAATCTCATTATAACTCCAAGAAATTCGATCGAAAAATTGCCTTAAAAGTTGCCCAAAAGTTTCGAAAATCTGCCCAGATTTTCAGATTTTTTGGGCAACTTTTAAAGCAATTTTTCGGCAACTTTCGACCATCAAAACTATCGAATTTTGATACCATTGGAATGCCCATAATGTCCTCTTCAATTACCATCCAAAATTTTCCCATAACTCCAAAGGATTCGGTCGGAATAAACCCACAAAATCAGTATTTTGAAAAGGCGAAAATCTGGACAAAGTTCGGGACGCTGACTTTGTGGGTTTATTCCGACCGAATCCTTTGGAGTTATCAGGAAATTTTGGGTGGTAATTGAAGAGGGCATTGTGGGCTTTCCAATGGTATTAAAATTAGATAGTTTTGATGGTCGAAAGTTGTCGAAAAATTGCCTTAAAAGTCGCCCAAAAAATCTGAAAATCGGGGCAGATTTTCAGATTTTTTGGGTGACTTTTAAGGCAATTTTTCGATCGAATCCCTTGAAATTATAATAAGATTTTGGGTGGTAATTGAAGAAAACATCGTGGACTTTCCAACGGTATCAAAATTCGACATTCTTTGTGGTCGGAAGTTGTCGAAAATTTGCCGTAAAAGTAGTCCAATTATTTGAAGAGACGAGTGGTGAATGAGTAATTATACGAAAAGATGAGTGAGTATTCAGTAATTTTTGAAAGATGAGTGAGCAAGTAGTAATCAAGTGTAAAGTTCAGTGATTATTGGTTAAATTTACTCGTTTATGTGTCTCATGGGAAATGTGCGATTATATGCTATTTTAGGAAATAGTTTATTTTATTGTATGAGGCTGTGGCGGTAGAATGAATGCTTACCTTGAAAACATAGATTTCAATCAATTTCCTTTTTAGCTATTGATTTCTAATTGCAATTTAGGTATTAATATGTCAACTGCTAGTTATATTCTCTGGACAGAATTTTTTGTTGTCTTTTCTTTTTAAGATTTATATGTGTAAAAAATGTGAAATACAGATGACAGAAAAAGCCATAATCCGGAAAGAGAAGCTCTTGGAAGATGAAAATCCATCTGAGGATGAGGAATGGATATGCAAGATTGAAGTTCCGGCTAACAGGTTCTCTTGATAATTATTAATTACTGAATTGACTGGTTACTGTGATGAGAGCAAGAAAAAGTTTGGAAAAGTACCCTCAGACAGAAGGATGTCTTTTTTACAACATTTGAGTAAACTGACAGTCTTAGCATGAAATTCTTGGAGGTAGTGTGCGTTGTTGGAAATGTGGCAAATAAGTAATTTTTTTGCTTTGAATATTGTGGCAGATATGATTTGCTTTGTCTTGAGGGTCTTGCACAAGCCCTCCGCATTTTTAATGGGATTGATCCAATACCTACCTATAGTGCGGCAAACATCAGTAAAGAATCTATGCACAAAATGCATGTAAAACCAGAGGTATGCTTTTCGAGGAAACCTTGTTTAGTGAATTATATTTGGGGCAATTATTTATAGAATTATAGGTTTGGTCTAATAAGAATTTCTTCCCCACAGACGTTGAAGATTCGTCCATATGTTGTGTGTGCTATTTTAAAAGGTGTTTCATTTGATGAAGCTCGATATAATAGCTTTATTGATCTTCAAGACAGACTTCATCAGAATATCTGCCGGTAATGCTTTAAGACCTGATTAATTCTGAATTGCACCTTGGATATTTGTTTCTTAGCAAAGGATTCCTAGGATCTTACTTGATAACCTGTTTAGTGAATGAAATTAAACCAAGGGATTGCTATATTCTTAACATATTTTATTTACTTTATAAAACTTAAAACCTTTATTTGATGGAAATTTATAATAATATATCATCTACTCTTAGTTAAAAAGTGTTGGACTCAAATCACCACCATTCATTTTGTAATGAAACATCTCTAGTTATCTTCGAGCTTTAAAATTATTGAAGTTTAAGCAGCATAAATGTAACTTTTGTTTATTCTCATTGTAACTTATATTATAATGTAAAATTGTTATTATTATTATTATTTATTTATTTATTATTATTATTTTTTCATGGTTATCACTATATTAGAAACCAATATTTACTTTTTCCCACACTTTCTTTAACTGTGCACCTTCTGATTTCTTGTTTTTCTTCTTCCTTCTTGTAGGCGAAGAACCTTGGTAGCGATAGGAACACATGACCTGGATACAATAGAAGGCCCTTTCACGTACGAGGTATTACATCATGTCTGTTTCCTTAGGATAAACGTGCGTGATTTTTTGGTCAGAAAAGGTGCAGTGTTCGGATCTGACCTTTGATTTATAATTGCGTTAGATTTGTAGATATACCTTGTTTGATTGGTACTTGAAAACATGTAGTCTTGTTTGGATTTGCAAATTCAGATATCTTTAAAGATTTGGTTCGAACAGACTATTTGTATTTTTTCGCCATCGCTGCTCTTACTGGCTCTTGTATTGTTACTCAAGCCTGATTTATTTTCTTAATTAAAGAGTATTTTATTATTGTGTCTGTTCATAATTTCAGGCTTTGACACCTCCAGAAATAAACTTTGTTCCTCTGAAGCAGGTAATCATACATGTTTTTAGTTTTGATATGTGATTGCTTTATTGCAGTTTTTTAATATTGTATGACTCCAACAATGTTAGTGGAGTATTAGATGAAAAAGTTAGTAGTTGACAAAAATGGGGTGTCGTTTCTCCCCCTTTGATAACCCCATCGCCTCATCACTATTTCCTTGAAAAATAAGCAGTTCCTTTTAGCACTTTAAAAATTAATAATATTCATTGCACTGATCTGTTAAATAATTACTGCAAATTGGGTAGTTGGACTCACCTCAATTAGACTTTCCTAAAATTTTAAGGGTGTAAGTTGATTCACCAAAAACATATTTAGTAAATTGAACTTTTGTGTCTAAGTTACATTTAATTAGTATTTCTGTGTTCTTCCTACACAGGCTTTTCTCACTTTCAGTTTTTTATTGTTTTTATGCTGTTATTTTTTTGCTTATTACTTTTTGATCTTAAGTTGTTATTGTTAGTATTTTGAAGTTGTCTAACATGTAAGATGCTAACATTTTTCTTCATTTTAGACAAAGAGCTTCAGAGCTTATGGAATTTTACAAAGTGAGTTTCTTAGTTGCACTTCCCACGTGTATTAATTATGAGGTTCCTTTCATAAGTGTGTGGTGCTCAGAACTCGACACCTGCTATGTTGAGGACTCTTTGCCTCCTGTATGCATGATTTGTACATTCGTTAGGTGCCTGCTATGGCTTCTGATTTACATGATACTTTGGTACATTTGCAGTCGGATCTGAAACTGAAAAAATTCTTGCATATAATTGAGGATTCACCAGTGTTCCCAGTCATATATGACAGCAACAGGTAATTTGAATACTGTAAAGGGCCTAATGTTTTCGAGACATACACTTGTTTATGCTGAAGTATCCTCTTTTGGTCTTTTCCGAGTCCTATAATTTGACTTCACCATTAGTTTTATTTTTAATGCAACGTAAATGTCACAATTATATTGTGGCCCTTTTCTTTTCTTTTTTCAAAATATATCAAGCTTATATTATTATAAAGGCAATCTATTTTATAAACATGGTTATTACAATATTAATATACTGAATATGAGGAACAATCAATGAAATTTCTTTGATCTGATAAAGCCCCTTGCTCTTTTTGCAGAACTGTTTTGTCTTTGCCTCCAATTATTAATGGCGCACATTCTGCCATTACATTGAAGACAAAGAATGTTTTCATTGAATGCACAGCAACGGATTTGACAAAAGCCAAAATTGTATTGAACACAATGGTAATAAAATGAATTGAACCGGTGCTCTAATTTTTCCACTTTTTCTCTTCATGTTTGTATGACCGTGAAGAGTGTTGCAGGTAACCATGTTTTCAGTGTATTGTGAAAGAAAATTTGAGGTTGAGCCAGTAGAAGTAACATACTCTGATGGAAAATCGTTCATATACCCAGATCTATCACTTTACCAAATGGTTGTGCCTTTATCATACATTACCAGTATAGTTGGAGTCTCCTTGCCAGCAAGCATGGTACCCTAACTTTGTTCTACATTTTTTCTAAACTTGATCTTTGCAGTAAAAAATATTTAGCATTGCCTGAGCATCCATTTTCCTCCCCTTTGTCCTCTCTTTGGACTTTGATGATTGACAACTGTATGGCTTTTGAAGTTGATCCTGTCATTTTCTCCCTTATATATGTGTGTGTGTGTGTGTGTGACTTCAAGGGTTTCTTATCACTACTTAATTCTATACTTTCCAAAAGATCCGAAGATAAAAGGTAAAATAAAATATGTATACTAGCAATTGCACAAAAATGTTATACTTCTCGGCTTGTTACTTTGCCTTCTGCCCCCGTCGTTAATTACTCTAAAAGATTTATCTGTGAACAGGGGGGAAAAAATTAATGTTCTCATTTTTTACCGATTGAAGTCAAGGTTTCCTGTTTGGCCGTTTCGGTAGTTTCGGTTTCTGGGTGTGCTAGCTTCGAAGTTAGATGGTTTACGATTTTTACTAGTGTGAGCACTAAGAGTGTATAACTGTATATTACAAATATAATTTTATACTTTGCTTCCAGCAAGGTCACAGTTTCTGCTAGGATGGATGAATATCTAAGTATCTATGTGCTTGTATGGTTGTCGCATAGTCAATTGTTTGTGACGGTTTACATTCTGTAATTATTTAAAAAATGAATGAATAAGTCACATTGCTGTATGGACCTTGCCCTTAACTTTTCTTTAGAAGCACCAACATAATGTAATATTTTAAACTAGTATGCAAGAATCACATTTCAGGTGGCCAGCTTGTTGAACAAAATGCAATTACATGCTGAGCACTCTGTATCAGAAGACAAGCAAACAAGTTTTATTGTTTCTGTTCCTCCCACAAGAAGTGATATTCTTCATCCATGTGATGTGGCTGAGGTATTGATCCTAAAGAATTTGTCTCATAGAAGATCATCTCACCTTGCCTCTTGTACTGACATGGAACGTAATCTCTCTATTCAAGGATGTTGCAATTGCTTTTGGTTACAATGAAATTCCCAAGGCAAAACTGGCATCTCTGCAACCACAATCTTTGAATCAGCTCAGTGAGCTTATTCGAATGGAGGTACAGTTTATACGTGCCTTTATATCTCTCTCTCTCTCTCTCTCTCTCTCTCTCTTTTCATCAATTAACTATTTGTCTTGTCGATCTTTTCATCTAATATTTTCCTTCTTTTTACTGATCTATGTTTTGCATCAATGTATGCAACTCTTTCAGTTGCGAAGACATTACTCTAAATCAGCCCTGGAATGAATTGTTGTATAATGTATGTCATTCAAATGTCATTTCCTTTCTTTGATATTAAAAATTTCCTTTTCCTAGATAACTTTCCTAGATGGTTCCCTAAGATCGCTTTGTACCTTATCTTTCAAGGATTCAGTTTGACCATAAACTGTGAACAACTTTTAATTTATTTGATAGTTCAAAGCTAGATCTCTATCATTTTATGCTTTTCTGACTCAAAACATTATTCAAGTCCAAACTTCATGGTTGTAGCAACCCTTCTCTCCTTTTCTCTCAATATGTAGATCACAGTCCCCTTCATCGTGCTTCTAAATAAGCAAAGCAGTAAACATTTTGTTCTTCCTTGCCTCAAATTATGACGCCAAAGCTTGCAGTGAGTAGTTATTGGTGCTGCATATCTGCTAGTAATTTTCGCAGTTGCTACTTTTTTGTTCCTGTTCTCTTTGACTCCCTTGGCGAAAGCAAGACTGTGTGAAGCAAGCTTTAAGTGTTTGATTGTTATTATTCACAATCCCCTTTTAGATCGCGATGCTTGGTTACACAGAAGTATTAACGTGGATATTGTGCTCATATAAAGAAAATTTCACCATGCTCAACCGTAAAGACAACAAGGCAACAGCAGCAATCAATGGAAATCCACGTTCTGCTGAATTTGAGGTTTGTTTTGTCTTCATTGTTTCTGTGCTATTGACATCATGTTGTCATAACTATTTCTTCCTTAATTGTTTAGTGCTGCAATCTGATTTGACATGTAAACAATTTGGTTTCTTTTATGTTTCTTTTAATCTTATATTCTGTATTTTATTTACCTCGCTATTTAGATATATTAGAAGCTTGAATTGATTGTCAGTTGTTGAGAGGCATTCAATGTTCTATTTGTCTTCTAATGTTTCTGAATTTCTAACTAAACTACGAATTTTTTTTCAGTCATGTATTTATTTGGCTTTTTTGGTTATGAATTTCAGAATTATATATTCGTTTAATCTTATAACTGATTATTCCTGGCAGATTAATGTGTAGCTTTCTTGAGAATCTTCGATCATTTTAAAACCTGGGAAATGGATAATGCATTGTGCTAGTGTACTGTAGTAAACTCTATATCAGTGACCTGGCAATGTTTGTAGTGGATGCAGTGATTTGTTTTGAGTTAAATAGTGGGGACTTATGATGCACAGACGCTTCTACATATCTTTGAATTTCTAATGTTTAAGGGTTACTTTAGTAGAATTACTTGGGTAAGTGCCGTGTCCTATACTAAAAATTGCAGAATTAAGGGTATAATAAATAATTAAAAAATATTAGAATGACTTGTCCTCGATGTGTCAGTGTCCTACGTTTATGAAAAATTACGTGTTGGAGAGTTTGTGTCCATGCAAAATAGAGTAGGTTTACATACCTTGTAATCGTTGTGTTTTCACACTCGTCTTTAGAAAGAGTTATGAAATGTGTTTATATTGGAAATGCATTTCAGTTCTAGCCATTGCATTATGCCTCTTGACTCCATTTTGGGTTTTCGGTTTTATCCTCTCTCTGGTCTCTCGCCAAACTTTTGTTAGTTACAGCAGCCTACTTATATGGTGTTAGAATAATGTTTAGTATTAAGAATATAGGTTTTTGGAAGTATAATTTTAGAGTGCAAAAACCTTGGGAACATTTCGATAATGATTAATCCGGATATAGATAGTTGTTGGAGTGAAATGTCTATTTTCAAGCAAGATTGCTGGATTCTTAAAACTTCCTTCTACATGCATCTATGATATTCATTTGTCTTTGTTATCTTCAGATGAAAATTTAGGTGCAGTTTTGTGAACCTTACACTTCCTGTTTGTGTGTCTTTCTGAAGAGTTATGAATGTTACTGGCAGTCAGACACAAATCCCTTTTATTTGATAGTTTGGATATATGGAATATAAAGTCATTGTTTTTCTCTCTCTCAGTAACACTTCTTAGTACATCTCCACTAATTCTATCTGTGAATGTTTGCAGGTTGTCCGTACCAGTCTTATGCCTGGCATATTGAAAACCATTGGGCATAATAAAGACCACCCAAAACCAATAAAGGTAATGAGAATATTTAATGTGATCTTCCTTGTATTTATGTTTAGCAGACTTATTTGCCTCATCATTAAAGAATTTTAGGATCCACCATTCTATCTGCCTGAAATGAGCATAGCATGTAAAAAGTTGTTTTTTTGCTGTGATCATGCCAAAACTAGATATGTGGAACTGCATGTCCTTGTTAGTATAAACCCTCAGGGAATTGAAATTTTTGAAGGGATTTACAATGATTGGCTATGTTCTGTAGATTGTTCACTTTGATTTGTTTGTTGATCTGATCAAAAGAGGGTTCTTAAACTAAATGATTGATGTTGAGGAAACATCCATCTAGTGCAATTCTCATGTTTTTAGACATCTAGTACTAGTACTACTTTTACCTGCAAGTAGTATAATTTATAAATTGCTTGAGGTAGTTGATGTCAAAGGCTGTGGCTGTCTTGCATGTCTGATAGTCAGTTAGCCACTATGTTGATAACTGTGGATGACATTTGTTGTACTAATANGTATATGAATATTTCCTTTTTGCAATATGTTGAAAGACCTCAAGGTACCTTTCAGTTTTGCATCATTAAAACTATATATTCTTGCGGATAATCGGAGAAAATGAGTACAGTCAAATTTCTGATTTATATTTCTCTTTAGGCCATGATTTCAGCACGTGTTCATGTTTATGATAGGTGTTGGATAACTTTGATATACCAGACCCATGCTCCTTCATGGAAATCAACATTGAGAACTTCTTGGAGAGGGACAAATTCGTCTTCTATAACAAGAGAGAAGGTAGAAGTGATTAATTATTCAAATCCACCTTTTTTTGTAGTAGTATTTTGAATTGATTGAATATGAACAAATATTGTTCTCTCTTCGCCCTAATGACTAGGCATTAGGTATGAGTGACTGAAAGTCTCTGGTCTTGCTGAATTTCTTGATAAACGTATATTTAATTGTTCGATACAAGCAAGAATTGTGGACAATAAAATTGAGGAAGTGATATGGTTTTCGACCACTATTCATTCTTCATTTTTCTAATTTTTGTTGTGGTTAGTTTCATTATTGCTTCCCACTCGGCCAATCAGAGAGGGACCGTGCTGGGCGTACAGACCCTGCCAGACAACCCGGCGCAATTATTTTTTATTTTTATTTTTATTTTGTTTTCACGTGGGACCGACCCCTACAGTGAGGGTCGGTAAGGATTCTGTAGGAAATTCCATTGGAGATTGATCACTGAAATACCGCAAATTTTTAGCGCTTTACATAGTTTTGCGACTTGTTTAATTCAACTCAACATTCTTACATTCGATACCAACACTCCACTTTGTCTACTCCAGTTTTACTTCCAAAAATTATTACACCAATGATTCATTTAAAATTTTTTAAATCAGATTCATTGAATTTCTAATTTTGGGCAAAAAACCCGATGACTAGAAAATTGCACGAGCAGCTACAATAAGTGGAATCCTTTGCCATGCCGTAATTCACGTTACTTGATTCTTTGTTCTTCCTCTTCACTGTTGTGAAAATGTCATGATGCACCAAAGAATGAGATATTAATAACCAGAAAATTTGCACGTCAAAAATAACAAATGGGATCCATGTAGGCAGACCTTGCTTTGCCTCGATGCGCTGGAAAACAGCTGAATTATTATTTTTTACAAATGTACAAGCGCAGACACAAGTACAGTAACAAAGGGATGAAGAAAGAGAGAGAGACCAGAAACTAAACAGAAAATAGTATAAGTGTGAAGTTCTATTTCCGGTGTGCCAAAAATGTAGACTCTAAATGATAAAGTGTGAAGGAAAGCATTCTCGCTACTGACTGCATCCACTTGACGATACATTGTTAAATGGTCAACCTTTGTGGCTGAATCTGTTATTATAGCAGTTCAGCATTTAACCACACGATCTCTGGGAAGAAGAAGAACCCAATTGCCATGGAATATTTAGCTTTCAGCGGTTAAATTGGATTGTTGCATCACCAGTCGTCCCGCCTGAGGAAAGTTTAAAAACGTTAGTCAGAGGGCTAAATCTTGAGAACTGCACCTAAATTCGACATCAGATTGCATATATATAGCAAGATGAGTAGCAAAAAAGATCAATAAAAACTCAACCATCTCTGATTGGAGTTTCAGTTTACCTTCAAGTACGAATCCACAGGGGTTCCAATGAGAAGGACTTCTCATTTCGAGATTGGGCAGCTGCAGCCCCTAGAGGAGGGGCATGCACGGTAATTGGAAGAATCCACTCACATTTCTCTCTTCCCTCGATCAGAAGAGGATGCTCATATCTGATATTAAAGCCGGTAATTAAAAGTTCGGGGAAAAAAAAAGAGAGAGAGATATTGAGCAACGAGTTATAACATCCTCAATTAGCAGGTAATGACAGAGAATAATTTGACTATACAAGGCTGGAGAAAAATAAGAGCAGGGAAAAAAAAAAAGAAAAAGAAAAAAAAAAAAAAGGAAAGCTCTCCAGTGATTTTTGAAATGTTTGAATCAGTTGTCCAGACAACAATTTAGCGGTCAAACCATATTCAATAAATTGGTAACGGATATTCATATCAGATCTGGAACAGTGTACAATTTTTATTCATACCTCCTAGTATATGTAATAGAGATGAATGGAGCATAGAAAGGAGCATATATGATCCATATTATGAGTTAAATAGGTATGCAACCCAGAGAAAAACACAAGACAATTATCCCCATCATTAAAAAGGTGCTTCCATCAAAGTTTCATTTTATCCAGCTTAAAGGCTACTAACAATGTCCTTATATAAAGTTGCGTTCATTTTGGATTTTTTATTTTTTATTTTTGTCTATTCTTTATTCTAATTTAACCTTTATACTAACATCTCAAAACTGGAATTCATATTTAATTAACTTGAAAGTAGCAATATCTTATTCATGTGATGGTAACCAGCTCTTCACACCTGGCAAATTTATGTTGTAGACTGATTTCAAGATCTGGTAATTAACCCTTTTGATGAATTCACGATCTAGTAACTGGCATTTCTGTAGCCATTAAGTAAAATTACAGTAAAAATGAGACATCTCAGAATTGCAATGTAGAATTTGATGCTCTGCAACAAACTATTTTTTATCCTTCCATTCCAGAATAATTAGAGTTATACCTTGTCCAGTCCACATTCTTTGGAGTAGTAAGAAACTCAAAACGAAGAGCCCATTGCACAGAGACATAGCGGGTAGAAAAAGTCATTGGTCCATCCATAGGAATTGAAAAGAGAAAGCTAGTCTGTACTAAATCTGCAACAACCTCATGGTGATCACTATGAACCTGCAGAAATCAGATGCTAAAAAATCGGTGATTTCCTGTAGGCCTTTACACAGTAAATTATAAATATTATTTTATCTTCATAGTAATACATTGCTAAGATTTCCTTGTGGACAATTTACAGATAGAAAACCACTTCTCAATTTTATCATTAGAATATGGCCTAATGGTAAACAATTTGCACAAATTCCTGATATAGGCTAATAGCTCTTTCCGCAGATGTAAGATGATTTTTAGATATCTTGCAAAAATTTTTAGGTAAATCACAATTTTTTGGGATGATTATGATTTTGGCCTTAACCAAGAATGTGTCAGAATCACGGTAATATGCGCTGCACCAGAACGCATTTGATGTATTCAGGCATCACGTGAAATGAATCAGGATTTCCCTAGGTCATACCACCCAGTGGATCATCTTTCAACCCTTGGCTAGGCGACATTTGTTAAAAGTCAAAGGTCATGCTTGGGCTTTGCATGAGTTCATTAAATTGATCCGATACAGCTTGGCCTGTCCTATTCCATCTTAGTATCTGCTTGTCACAGCGTCTATTAAAGTGCCTTTATGTAAATGTGAATTTCTATTTAAGAAAAGGAAACCCTTTGGTCCACATATGTTCTACTTTTGCTTCTAAACCATTTATGACCAAAATCTCATGTGAAACAATGTGACTTGAAATGGAGCAGTGAAAATTGTACTAGAACAAATGCACCTAACAAGTGAACAGAAATGCAGCAAAGTTCTAGAATCAATTTCCTCAACCAGTGTCATTATTCTACTCACAAGTACAAGTTGGTAGCAAGATTTTAACTGGGTTCATAACACGAGTTTAAAGTATACAAAATATTGAAAAGATAGAAATGATATCTGGGTTCTAGCCTCCATTTGTGTGTGTGGGTGGGGCTTTGATCCCCCTAATAAATAAATAAATAAATGCTCAAAAAATATAAGGACTCAAAACTGCTAAAATTATACACTAATATCTACTTGACACCATGCTTATGAAAGAGAGATTATTATTTTAGGCCTCTGCGAAATTTCTCTTTCGTTTCCGAGGATATCGACTAAATTTCTGTTCCTATCTACAGAAAGAAAAGTCATCATAGTATCGGTACCACTTACCTTAGTAATAATAGGAGAATGCCTCCGAGAAGGATGGACAAAGTGCCGACTTATAGTCTCCATCATCTCCAGAGCTATTGTCAACTAAAAGGCACCAAGAAGCCAGTCAAATCCATATTCGGAGAAAAGTAACCCTATGCTAATGGTAGTTCACAGTGATATATGATGAAATGCAAAAGTACCTCAAGGCATCTCCTAGGCCCTTCTTCATGAAAGAAGGTAAGGGTTCCACCTATCTGTCAGTTATAATGAAAAAGAAATATAAGGAAGAACTAAAATAAAGACAATAGAAAAGATCCTCATGTTACTACCATATCACTGAAGTAGTAATTTGACTCAGAGTTCTTTGGTGAAAATCTTAGTAGAACTTTGTCATCAAGTCTGATATTATATGATCTTCCTCGAACATACCCTTCTGCTGCAGAAAATGTTGGCAGCAAATTAGTTTTGAAACATCATAGCTTATGTCAAATAATGGAATGAATGAAGGAAACAAGTTTCAGATTTACGAAGAATGCAACAGTAATAAATTACATGCTCCAGGTTCAGTATTTCTGGAGGAAGATGATACTCTCATGCCATCACCTACAGAAAAGGTTTCTGGATGTTTTAGCTGCTGATTTGGAGATGCGATAGCTGAAGACCTGTTCGAGGACAAAGCATCTGTTCACAAAGACAAAATTGTAAGATATGATGCAGCTTTACCAACCAAGCAATTACTCTCACATATAAAATAGTTTGAGTTTTGATGTTAGAGATTGAAGCTTTAACGTTAAAAAATAGTTTACCACCAGTAGAATCATGTAAGACCTCAGCCACAGACAGCCGAGGAAGTGCTACGTTTGAAGATATGCTCGTGCGTCCTTCAAGATACACAGAACCTCTATTGGAAGACCTTGCTGCAAATGACTGCAATGATAATGAACTTCCAAAAGCTTTATGCACATCTTCCTTCAAATGATTATAGGAAGAAACAGATGAGATCTCATCGCGTGAACTTTCATATCCTTCCTCAACTCCATCAAAAGCATCATTCACTTTAGCCTGCAAAGAAAAAAAAACAGTCCAATCCATACTCATACCTATAGCGTTATTGTTCTAATGATATTACTAATGTTCACAATCATAGATTCATTGTTATTATTTTGGGCATCACTATCATTGTTCTCATAATTGTTGATTTACTTAAACCAGTCAGTTTTCTAACCTAACAAACATATTATGTATAAGTGTATGCTGTTTCCCTCCCAACATTTTTCCGAAGAGGAAAATAGGACGAAGTTATAAATATTTAAAATGATAGAAGTAGCTGCATGCTATAGAGTTCTACCCATTCAGAATCTGCATTCATTTCTTTCCAATACACGTCTAAGAGGATGGTTGATGCTGGTACAATTCCTGAAAAAATGATGAAAGATGTCGAGTCACTGATTTAAGAGGCAACATTGATACATTAAAAGAAACCACAATTAATTATCTATATTTGATAAATAAATTAGAAATACAGAAACATATCACAAGTAATGTTCTTGGAGCACAATATAGCAATGGATGTCTCTATTAAACCCCTATGTATATTTAGACCACCCACTGTCTCATTTATATCAGTACACATATATATACGATATTTATGTATATAAAAAGGAATGTTTTCAAGAAGTAAAAAATACACCAAAGGTATTGAAGAGATATATATATTCCAAAAAAAATACCTTCCTGTTACTCTAGAATGCCATACGTACTAAACCATACCAGTGACTCTGTGATGGTCAGCTAAACATATCTTGACCAACATAAGTAGGCCATTAGGGATGTGAATCTGGCTGATTGAAGAAACGGGTTTTTAGCATTAACACACAGAATTAACTATAATGAGAACACCCTAAAGAAAATGTTCCACTAAACATTATCCTTCAA